GGGCCTTGCTGAGGCCACAGAGAAAGATCCCAAGGCAATCTGAGCCTTTATTTTTATAGTCAGAGGTAAACAAGGTAGTGGTTACCAAAGTTACACTATTCTTGTGAGTTTCACTTGTTTTTGTTCTTGTGAGTTTCACTTGTTTTTGTTCTTGTAAGTTTCACTTGTTTACACCATGGTTATACTTCCTGCACTTCCCCAGCCCATCAGATTCCCAGATAAGATCTAGGGAGTGTTATAAGGTCAAGCCTAATTATGCTAAGAGGACTGTGCCCTCTAAGCTAGGGCTTATTTGTGACTTTGCCAGCAAGTCAGTCCCAGGCTTAACCCTATATCAGTTTCCCACAGTTAAGGATTTATAGGTCAGAGTTTGAAACATACCTCATTATTTATCTATATCCTAGAGGCCTGGTGCACAAAATTTGTGCACGGGTAGGGTCCCTAGGCCTGGCCAGCGATCAGGGCCAATCAGGACCTTCCAGCTGCCAGCTGGGGCCTTCCTTCCCTGGCTGCCGGCTGCCGACTGGTGCCTTCCTTCATTCTGCACCACCCCTGGTGGTCTCGCATGTCATAGGGAGAAATCGAACTCCCAGTCTCCAGTTGAACTCCCAAGGATCATATTAGCCTTTTATATCTACACTAATAAAAGAGAAACATGGTAATTGGCGTACAACCGCTACCCTTCCCATTGGCTAATCAGAGAGATATGCAAATTAACTGTCAGCCAAGATGGCGGCTGGCAACCAGGCAGCTTGAAACTAACATGAGGCTTGCTTGCTTCAGTGACGGAGGACTCCAACGTTCCCCGCCTGCTGCTGCAGTCCTCTGAGAGGGCAGTTTGAAACATCGTAACATATAGAAGCTAAAAAAACTCCAGAAACCTGCTTTCAGCGAGCTGGGATCTCAGAGCTGGAGTTGATACAGAGTTTTGATTAGAGAACACAAACGAGTCTGGGCCCGAGGGTTTCCGCTTTCCCAGCAGCAGAGGCCGCAGAGCTGGAGCCACAGCTAAAGCTGGCCCAGAATAAAAAATAAAAAAAAAGGAGCGGTTGGGAGCTTCTGTAACCTGCCAGCCTGAAAACAGCCCTCAGCCCCTCACCCAGACTGGCCAGGAACCCCAGTGGGGCCCCACACCACGCAGG